GAAACGACCAAATCACGTCACGGTCGATAAACTCCGCAAGACTCCGCGCCTTAAAGAGCGTCTTTCGTCGGTCTTATTCCCGGAACAGGGAACCCACGCCGGGATATTCGTCCGTAAAGGGACAAGCTCGTCTAGTCGGTGAGAACTTCATTGGACGATTTTCCCCACGTTGCCTCCCCATACCAGTCCCACATTCCTGCGGAGAAAGGACGCTGAAAATGCTTGGATGGGTAGCTTTCTTTTCCAACGCGGGCCAGGCTCGTGCAGCAACGCCGCAGCTTAGATACGGAATAACGGATCTCGCGCGGCAGCTGAGGCGAATCAACGCCAAGGCAGCGGGGCGCTCCGGTGAAGACATCGGTCCTATTCTGCGTCTAAAGAGATACCCCAATCGTGCGAGCATTTTTCAAACAAGAGGGATTGCGGGATCCCCTCGGGGAAACGCCTTGGAAACTGGGGATTTCGAACACGAAAGGTACTTGGGATTCCCACCTTCGGGGCCCTCCAGGACTCCATGTGACCACCAGGACCCGGCTTTCGGGGACTGGAGCGAATGGAGCAAATGGAGCTGCTCATCACCCTTGGGCCTTTGCTCGTCTTGCCCCGGGATGCAGGGTGACGTTCCCCGCGCACGCGAACGCGAAGCGGCGAGCGGTCTCTGTGGTCTCTCAAGCACTCCAACATCTCCCCCATCCAACCCGCGCTTTCACCCCTTGGATGGGTTTATCCCCACGTCATCCTGATGCGGCCGAAGAAGCCCCATTGCAGCTGCATCGCCGGAGCTGTCGTTAGGCCGGACCAACCCAGGGGCACTCGTACAGATCCCGGACAGGCGTCAAACTCTTACTTCCCACGCGCGCAGCGCACTTGGAGGACGAGATGGGACGGGATGGGTGCAGCTGGTGTTCACCCCACATTAAAAATGTTGTTGAGGGGTGGCTATTTGTTCCCCCGCGGATCTTGACCGAAGCCTGCCACCCCTTTATAAGCTTTAGCTTCCCGTCTCCGAGACGCCTCATCCGGGATATAAGTCGACTCAATCCAGACGTCCCTTCTCCTCGACCACTCTCACCAGTCTTACTCCTGGCCCGGCCCTCCCTTTCGACAACCCGTTGTGTGAAGAGTCAAGTCTGAGATCCGACATCACCAGCAAAGATGGATGACAAGATTGACCAGGCGGAAACCGCCAAGGGCGTCCACGCCGACAACGTCGAGAACCAGCAGCCCCAGGACCCCAATGCGCCTCGCACCATGGACCCGGCGCGTCGCGCTGCCGTTGAGAAGAGCATGAAGCGCAAGCTCGACACGCGCTGCTCTCTCTTCGTTCTCATTTACATCCTGAGTAGGTTCTCACCAGCTGTTCAATCGCTCTCTTACAAAGGCTTACATGGTGAACAACAGACTACCTCGACAGAAACAACATCGCCGCCGCCCGTCTTCGCGGTCTGCAAGATGACCTCAAGCTCGACAACACGCAATACGCCACCTGCTTGAGTATTCTCTACGTCGGCTACATTCTCATGCAGGTCCCCTCGAACATGATCATCAACAAGATCTCCCGCCCTTCGTTGTACATCTCCGCCGCCATGCTGGTCTGGGGTCTCATTTCGACTCTGTCCGGTGTCACCAACAACTTCGGCGGCATGGTCGCTACCCGTTTCTGCTTGGGCTTCATCGAGGCCGCCTTCCTGCCCGGTGCCCTGCTCATTCTCTCCAAGTGGTACACCCGCCGCGAGCTGACCACCCGCAACGCTATCCTGTTCTGCGGTAACCTCATCTCCAACGCCTTCTCGGCCCTTGTCGGTGCCGGTGTCCTGTCCAACATGCAGGGCGTTCTCGGACACGCTGCCTGGCGCTGGCTGTTCTGGATCGAGGGCGCCGTCACCATGGCTGTCGCCATCTCCGCCGCCTTCATCCTCCCCGATCTCCCCACCAACTCCAAGGGCTTCACCGAGGAGGAGCTGTACGTCGCCCAGCTCCGCATGACTGAGGATGTTGGTGAGGCCGATGCCGATTCCGCCGACATGGGACCTCTGGACGGTCTCTACATGGCTGTCAAGGACGTCAAGATCTACGTCATGATGTTGACCTTCACTGCCTACGTCGTCGGCCTGTCCTTCAACGCCTTCTTCCCTACTCTCACCGGCACCCTCGGCTTCGGCTACGTCCCGACCCTGTTGATGAGCTCCCCTCCCTGGGCCTTCTCCTGCATCATCTCTCTCATCAACGCCTGGCACGCCGATCGCACCCAGGAGAGATTCTGGCACATCGTCGGCCCCATCTGCGTTGGCCTCGTTGGTTTCATCATTTCGATGTCGACTCTGAACGTTGCCGCTCGCTACATCGCCCTCTTCCTCCAGGCTAGCTCTTACGCTGGATTCATCGTTTTCTACTCCTGGATCTCCTCTTCTTTCCCCCGTCCCCCGGCTAAGCGTGCCGTCGCCATCGCCATGATCAACGCCTTCTCCCAGCTCGGCAATGTCGCCGGCTCCTACGTCTGGGACCTCAAGGAGAACGGCTTCCGCAAGAGCTACGGCATCGTCACCGCTATGTTCGGTGTCACCATCATCGGCTGCTACATCTTCAAGCGCATCCTTGACAACCTCAACAAGCAGCTTGAGGACGGCGAGCGCGCGTGGGAGGTCCACGGTGACGTTGCGCACCAGACCGCTGAGATTACCAACACTGAGGAGATTGAGGCGGCGCGCAAGATGGGCAAGGGCTTCAGGTACCTCGTCTAAGCGAACGCTGTCACGAGACGTTGAATGAAGGATTAAATTAATGGTTATTTGATACCCATGATAAAGAGCGCTTTGTACATGTAAAACCCGATGTTTGCTACTTTGAAAAGCCTGTGCTATTGCAGGACCTGGCAAGCATCACAAACAATGGAATGAATACGTAATGATAAGAATCTTGCATGCAATAATCTTCAGGATGGGCATCTCCTAAGTGTAAACCCTGCATGGTTGTCATCTGCCCAGGTTGCATGTCCATTGGTATCCCTGCCTGCAATTCTTGATATTTGGAGAACGGTCTACGAGGGGTCAAGAATTGGAGAAATTTCCCCAACGGTAAAAAAAAAATTCAAGTCGCTGTGGAGATTTCTTGTGGGCGGTGACAAAGATGTAAGTCATGCAAATGTGCCCAGTTGGCTGATATCCAAGGCATCATCCCAAATTCAATATTTTCCCGGGCAGCCAAAAGACGAAAAAGAGTCGGAATGCCAACTCCTCGGCACACAAGATCCCCGCGTTTTCATATCCCGCAATTCCACAACCAAATCTCTGGGGAGACGCCGCTGTTCTGGAGTAAACAGCGTCCTCCACCTTTTCTCGTCCCGGACTTTAGCGCCCACGACAACGCGGACTCTGACCGAAGCTGACCAGGGATGAAGTGCGAACCCACTTCTCCTCCTGTTCCTCCAATTTTCTGCTGGGGCTCTCCACTTGGAGCGCAACGGTTCGGATTAGATCCTTGGACAGCCGCGACAACCTTGCTTCTACGGTGTGCAGCTCTGGGATGCTGCTCGGAAGCTCGTCGGGAAACCTAGACAACGCGAGCCGACCGCCTAGGTGATAGAGTCTTAAGACCGACGACCGTGGCGCAAACGAGGCTTTAGAGGTTGGTTGAGGCTCATCAGATAAGCTGGGACGAAGATTGGATGAGAATCAGCCTTATGACCCCGGATGAGGGTGCAACTTTGATTTGAATGCGAAATAGGCAGTGTGATATTAATGGAAAGTCGGCACTTCTGAAAGCGATGTTGAACCCATGTATCCCTCAAATGGGCCAATCAGCGTGTAGACTGGCAGCCATCATTCGGGAATACGGTCCGCTGGAGGGCTGCTCGCTGGCAACTTTTCCGAACTCGACCAGGAAGCGATATCCTCACGGGTAAGGGCTTTCCCAGATTTGTTTTCATTTTGATATTCCAAGGAAGTTTCTCAGATTTGCTTTCAACGAGCTGGACAAATGTTGTTGGCCCCGAAGTATAACATTTATTCATGAGGAACGTTGGTTGACGTAAATAAGGTCAAGGTCATCACATGTCAACGTTGAAATCTTTTCAGCGTCTGTCGATCGCCCTTGCATCCTCATCCCAGCCTAACACATGTCAACGTGCCATTGACAACCTAGTCATAGATCCCGTCCTGCATTGCAGCGTGCGTACAAGAAAGTGGCTAGGCTGCCCACGTTACCGGTTCTTATATGACTCCAAACCCAGTAAGCAACAGGCTTTGACTCCATTATCGTGGGGGTCAGATTCGAGTCCTCGGTAATGTTGACGTTACCCCTCATCTGAGATCGAAGCAAGTCGCATGTGCATGGGAGTAGGTTCGGGCCGCAGTAGTCGCCGTCCAAGGTGCCCTGCAGTTAAGAGCCCGACAAGGAATAGAGATGATCGACTCATAATATGCCGGTCATCTAACATTGTCAGATTCCATCCACATGTCACATTCGATATCTACCAAGCCTGCCCGGTACGCAGTTTCGGTCATGATTCACTTGCCATGCCAGTTGATCCGGCATCCTGGTCCTCGGTCTTGCCCCAGTTCCCCCTCCTCGGGACTTTTGTCCCATCAAGCATGCACAACACATCACAGATGTCGTGCTCAGCTAGTTGACCTAGTTCCCAAATTATGCCTTTGATTTATCTTGGCTCTTCCACCGGGATGGTTCCGGTGGGATGAAGTTGCGCCGCTAAGTGTTCGAGACGGGCTCGAGTCCCACTACTCCGGAGCATTACCGGAATAGGAAATTCGTCTTCCCCGGGGCTGTCGTTCTCGAGCCATAAATGTATGACGAAGAACCGGGACCGCTGTAGTGGCCCAAAGTAATGGGATGAGAGATGTGAGTTGGCTGACTGCAATGCTTAGATTAAGCGTGCCTAGTGGCCGCCAATTTTTAATGATGGGGGTATTCCAATCTAGTATACAAAGATAAAACCAATGTTTCCGAATTTTGGGCAACGTCTCAGTGGCTCATCCAAAAGGTCTCTAGACGGCATTCTGCTTCTCTTCGGGACTCTGTGTGTCACGTTCTCTGCTTTCTTCCCCATTCTTTTCCGAAGCCATCGACCTTGCGTGGAGGAATAGGGGCGGCACGGAGAAGACAAGCATAGCAGCAGCGAAGACAGTTACCGCAATCAACTGCAGGCGATACACATCATTGTATGTCTTGCGCACCATTAAAGCGACGGGTTTCTCCAGCTGGGGCAACACCGTTGTGGGCGAAGCCAGGAGTGACCTCATTACATCCTCCGGCAACGAATCGAGACGCTTGGGCATCTCGCTATGCAGGATTGCCGAGCAGACTGAGATTGCTATGCAGCCTCCCATTGTACGGATGGTGTTGTAGGCGCCCATCATGGCGGCTGCACAGAAGCGTGAGTTGGGAGGTCGACTTGTTGACGGTGTTACAGGATTTAACTCACCATTGTCTCGGTCTTCAACCTCTACTCGTCCCATCACCATGAGAATGGGCACCGCAGTGCCCATGCCTACGCCGATGATGACTTCGTAACCGTAGTATCTGTCTAGGACCTTCTCGCTGAACGGGATTTCGACAAGGAGGCCCACGCCCAGGACAACGAGAACGGTACTGATGGTGATTGTGTACCAGCCGTAACGAGTCGTCTTGGATAGCGCTATCCCGGAAAACATGGAGCAGAAGGATGACACCAGGAGAAGGGGTAGTAATCGAATGCCTGCCATTGTGGCGGAGTTCAGATGGACAAGCTGGTTTAGTTGCGGGAGCACGATGACGACCGCATAGAATACGGCGCCTTGGAAGAAGGCAGTGCTGCGTCTTTGTCAGGAACTGTTCTTGCACACAAGGTGGCAGGGGACTCGACAGAAATTCTTACAGTAGTAGGAAAGTAACTCTCGGAATCTTGAAGAGACGGAAAGGCATCACCGGCTCGATGACGGCTGCCGAGTTACGCTGAATAAACCATTCGTAGAGGAAGAAAAACACGACGGCAATACCGCCTGCCACGATAGTCCCGACGATTCTGGAGTCGCTCCACGGGTGCTCTGCGCCTCCAGTCTGAAGTCCGTAAAGCAACAAGACAGCCGATCCGATGGACAACAGCGACCCAATGAAGTCAATGCGTTTGAAGACGGACTTGCCGAAGTCCATATCATCTTTAGGGAAGGACCAGACGAGGACGGCGCCAGCAATTCCTGCTGCGGGCACACTTTGGGTGTGCGTTAGTAAGAGCCGGAAAGTCACTGCAGGCTGGGTGCCATAACTCACTTCAGGAGGAAGATCCATTTCCAGTCCCCGGTGTCGCTGATCACTCCTCCAAGGATTGGGCCGAGGATGCTTGCGAGGGCGAATACCGAGCTCACTGCTGCTGAATACGGCCCCAACCATCGAGCAGGGCAGATATCAATCACGGAGACAAAGACAACGGAGAATATGCCGGAACCGCCGATTCCCTGAAGAGCGCGAAAGACAATTCTGTGGAACGTTGTTTGATATTAGAGAGCAAGACATGAGAACTAGGTGTAGGCTTACAAATGCGTCAAAGTCATCGACTGAGCCGCAGCGCAAAGTCCCGAGAAGAGGGCGAACCATGCCAAGGCGAATAGAAGGATATTTCGTTGGCCAAAGATGTCGGTCAACTTGGAGTAGGTGAGAATGAAGCCTAGGCCGGATGTTCAGCTGGTTTGTTCGACGGATGGTTTGATCAGGTATGAACTTACCGCTGTTGGTTACCAGAAACGCTGTTACCACCCAGCCAACTTTGTTGTAGTCATTGAAATGAGTCCCGATCGTGGTGAGAGCCGTGGCGATGATGGTGGTCTCTAACGCGGAAAGGAACAGAGCTAATGCTAGGCTGGAGAACCCATGTCAGTCTCCATGTTGAGATAAAGTTGAGCGAGATGAACCCATGTCAATCAGACTTACCCTAGCATGCAGATATGAAGTCTCCAGCCGTAGATCGCGCGGGCGGGGTCTTGGAGCTTGTGCCCGATCGTCGTGGTGTTCTTGCCCGCAGCGGACGGCTGCAACTCGCCGTTCTTGTTGTCCATCGCGAGTTTGAAGCTGAGATGTCATTTACTCTAGCATTTCAAGGAATTGTGCGACGAATATATAGTACGAGGCACCGATTAATCCGGGACTGAAGATCTAAATAGGCTCCCGTGTCCCGCAAGGGACTTGGGCTGCCATTGGATGCATGTCAGATTGCCGGTAAGCCGGCGCGGCGGGTTTCCCACCAAACACACCGAATGGGTGCAGTTGCGTAAGAACTTATTCCGGTGGACGAAAACCTATCCCGGCTCCGAAGACGCCCGATGAAATAAGTCGCCGCCGCAATCCACACGCAAGGCTTCGTCAATCGGGATAATGCGCGGCTTACAGTGGTCTCATACCAAGCGAAAGGATCGCGTGCCCAAATCAGATCATACGGGCGGCTGGCCCCCGCAGGTTGAGAATCCTTCCGGGGAGTATTGAAGTCAGGCGTCATTTTCACTCACTGCTAGAGGCCCCATTTACCTAAGACTTAAATTTAAAGAGCGACAGGGTTAGACATGTCCCGCCATTCATTTACAACCTAAGAAATTATCCAGACGCGTGGGATGTAACGCGAGTTGGTCACCCGGCTTTCTCCAAACCTATAAAGCTTTAATCCGTATTGGGAGACATTTTCACCTCGCCACCCGACCCAGCACAAGACACCAAGCAACGATACCCAACATGCCCCATTGCGGCAGAAGAGGTTTCCCGTCCCGCACCGCCAACATCGTACCTCGTGTTACAATAGCCCCGTTGATCAGCAAAGCCGCTTCCCTCGTCGCCGGGACCAAGACGGCGGTACCCACCGCGATCCGCAGCACGGCACCGGCATACCCGGCCTGAGTGGGGTCAAGCCGGCCTCCGGAGAGCTCGGATATCCACCTGTTTTTGCCGGCGTAGTAATCCGCCGCACGCTGGTTCGGGAAGGAGATGCCAACGAAGGGAAGTGCCGAGAGGACGCATATGGCCCCGAAGGACCAGTTGGACAGGTTGGCGATCGCTCGGATGCTCATGGTGTCGGTCCGAATGAACCTGTTTGTTGGGTCTGTGGCTTGAACGAAGGCTTTCGGTGACAGCGGATTCGGTCCGTGGTTGACAGGAAACTTTATTCAGGAATCGAAGATGAGATTGGATGAGATAACTCCATGTTTTCTTGGCGAATAGTTGTGCCGACGCATCTTTTCAACAGGCCCTCGCGAGATGTGGCTGCTGACGTCAACGTCAGCACTACCCCTGACCAGCCCCCAAAAGAACGAGACGTATTACGGGGGCGTGTCCGAGCCGCGCCGCGCTGCTTCGGAATGGCGCAGCCGAAAAGCTTGTGGAATTTGGGGCTATCACGGCATGTCTCTGTTATCTGGTCTTTGACAAAAATCAATTGTTTGGCGAATCATCCTCACGGTATGATCGGTATGCTACTGGATCTACTCGACCTGCTCTCTCGCCTCCAGCAATCCGCCGTGTCTAGCCGGTCTGACGGCTCCGAACCCCGCCTCATTTCGGGCGATGGGATGGCCTGCATGTAGAAGTCAGGCTGGCGTGCGTAGCTACTCGAGCCGGTCACGCGAGAGTCGTGGCCTCGTTGGTAGTCTTTGAGGAGTGCGTAGAAGAAGGCGGTGTTTGCGACGATGCAAGCGCAGAGTATCTCGATGGATGCCCACTAGGATAGGTTAGTCTCTAGTTCATCTTTCAAGTATCGCGGAAGAAACTCACCATGGAGCGAGACCGCTGCGATACTGCCTGGTTCAGTATCATGGGCAGTCGCATGATGGTAATTACTACAATGAGGCCAGCAATGCTGAAGAGAAGAATGAGTTGCGCTTTTCTGCTGGATGTTAGTGACGATGTTCGTCGGGTTTGTCGCAATAGTGACTTACACTTTTCCGTCAAGCTTGACGTGACGAAGGATGGGAAACGGAAAAATGATGAGGGCGATATCAGTGACAATGTTAAAGACAGCCATGGTGACAAGATTGCCGACCGCTCGGTGACAGGAGTATTGACCCGTCGGATCAGGAAGCCACATCCTAACAGATATTAGCCCAAACAGAGCCTTGGGATGGGAGCGCAGATCATCGACTTACAAAGACAGTGGCCGGCATTCGGCTAGAGTGGGTATCAAGACAATAAAGAAAGTGACGACAATGAACCACCAGAGCGCAGTAGTGGCGACCTTCCCCCAATGGAAGACATCGACGAAACGGGAATAGAAGTTGAGCAGGCACAGCTTCAGAGACCACAAACTAGAAGGCAAGAAAAAAAGCTGAGTCAGACGTGCATTTGATATTGAAGATCGTCTCACCGCCAGGTTGCCTCGCAAGGCTGGATCGACATGCGAGTGAGACCTGGGGGCGGCATGCAAGCGAACTTACAACATGGCATAAAATATTCGTGACGGGATCAGCAGCTTCCGCGAGGCGACATAGTTCTCCTCAAGCTGCGCGATGGAGACGCCCTGCGCGGCGGCGTCTTCTGGTGTTGGTAGGCCGAAGGTGTGTGTCGGGTTGAGGACGAAGGAGATTGCGATGCAGGTGGTGCGGCCGATGAGAGGCACGATGGCAAAGGCCATGTAGGCGTCGTCGGCGTGCCATGTCCGGTGGCACGAGTCGTGGACCCTGCAGCGCGAGAAGATGCGGTAGCCGCAGCGGACGAGGATGAGAGCCGCGCATATGCTGGCGGTGACGATGTCGAAGGTTACGTCTACTGACATGATCATGATCTCGTTGTCGCTGTTCTCGTCGCTTTCACGGTATGCGTCGTCGGTGGAGGTTATGTTCGCAGCTGCTCGACGGCAATGGCAACCATGGCGTGTTATGCCGCGGCCGACATGGTGATATGTAGTCTAAGTGCTCGTTCGAGGTACTCCCGTCCGGCCTGATCGAAGGGCTTAGAGGAGAATTGATCTCGAAGGTCTTTGAGCTCCCGGTTGCTGCTTGGACGAAAACGGCGACGGGTCCTCGGAATCGGTGCTAGAAATAAATCGTTTCGATGCTTCGACGTTGAGGCCGTGTTTGAAGTCGGGGTGTGGGGAAAGAGATCAAGGGAGACGGACAGGATGGGACGAACGTGACAGGCAAGGACTGGATTCTTAAGAGCCAAAAGGGACGCTGCGCAATATTGGGGTTACTCAAAAGCGAAGGGCACAGGAAAGGGAAAGGATCAAAGGGAATGGCAGACGGCAGACGGGTAGTCTGAGTCAGCTACGGCATACCACCAACACACCCCCAGCCATTTGCCAAGCTGCCTTTATGCTAGTCTCGTGTCTTTCGAGTCCGTCGCACGCGGGGGCGGTAGTGAAGGGCGGGAAGGTGTAAGGAGGACAGCTGGAAGGATGGATGGGATGTGATGGGTGGACGAGAGGGCGAGGCTTTCTTTTTGCTGCCGCCGCTGATGGGAGACTGACACATATTTCAGCTGAGAGAGAGCAGAAACGGACCGGCGGTTTCTGGATGGACATGGATCCGGCGAGGGTTGCCAAGGTGCATGCAGCTGAACTCTGGAAAAGGTCATTGATGATCCGGGACTGCGGTCAAGGTACAGTGTGATTCGCGCGATGGCCCGGGGGAACGGTAGCGCAAGCTCTCCTCCCAGTCGTTGGCCTGCCGCCTACGAGCTCTTCTCGGGTTGTCGGGTCCTCAAGCTGGTCAATGGTCCAATTTCCCCGCATGGAGTCGCCCGGGGGTACCCATGACGCCAAGCATCGTTCATAGTGATCTCTCGTAACGGCATGGCGGATGTTGTGCTGAAGACTTTGCTTGCCCCCCGGTGCCTGGCGCCAGAGAATTATGATTCATGAAAATATGGAGAGTGTAAACAAGATGCGAAGTTGTGAGCTCTGAGTAGTGTTCCGGTGTCTTCACGCATGGCACGGATAAGACGGAGCAACATGAATGCCCAAGACCCCATTGATCGCCAGCCATAATAGAACCCGATCAAGGTCCAACACAACGGTGGCGCTGGCACTTGGCTGGCACAACGGCTTCCCGGCGAACAATTGAGACGGACCCGTACCCCTTCCGCGCCTCTCGCTTCCCAAGAACGCCTTCTGTCTCTTTGAGTTCGGCCTAAGCCCGACCCCGGGAGGTTGGCTCGCGCGCTTGTCAGTTCCGTCCCAAACTTTAGTCCCAGCTGTCTCCATTGCATCCTAGCGCTCCATCGACATTTGCGCCTTACCATCGGATGACAGGACTGTGTTACTGGCAGGACTGGTCCAGGCACCAGATGTTTCCCAGCTCGCCGTTCCAGGCCCGCAGGCCTTTATGATCCAGCAAGGGTTGATGACAGATTCATCGGCGGCCTTTGCTTCAGCGACTCCGCCCGTCTCCGCATGCCGCCTGTTCCCCGAAAGAGCGCACGACCTTAACTAACCCCCCTTGGGCCGCCAGGATCCCTGAGGGCGTTAATCAATCAGGGCTGATGTTGCATCGCCTGCGAAAGAGCTGGGTTTGCACTGGACAACGCAACCCTGACAGGCAGTTGGCGGATTGCGCCTCTAATGACGATGATCTGCACACAAAATTACGTGCACTCGTCAGGTTGCCTGCCCGTCGCTGTCTTTGAGAGTGTTGGATCTGCTCTGCGCCGTGTCGCTCTTTGTCCGAATGAAGGGCGGACGCACTGGGTTTCCGTCGTCCGCTTCGCGGCTGCAATGTGCCCTTCATTTGATCCTCGCTTGCCCTGTCTCACGGCTGTGCCACCGTCTGTGTTCCACTGCATGTCCAATATTATGTGATACTGGGGGCGCATTCAGTCGAACTCGGACAGCTCCTTCACTGCTACAATGCGGGTGCCACGGCATTTGGAACGCCTTGCATTGAAAACGGCCAAGACGCCTGCTGGACTCAGTCACCCCAGACGCCATGTCTTAGCCACTCGATGCTAGGCTGGAAGAGAGCTTGAGATTTCTTTCAGCCACACTCTACCGCCTTTTCCGGTCGGAGTCCGCGATTTTGAAATGAGGCCCTTTTCAACCTGTTTCTCGTGGTCATTGAGCAATCATTTCGTGATGAACCAATTGCGGAACAGGTTTTGAGAGCTTCCTCAAATGTGCGGCAAGCGAGGATAGACAATATGATTGTCAACTCTTTCATTTTGTGCAACCATCACGCGTATATCGTTGGAGAACAAATTTCATCTTGCCTCGAATTGTGTTTTTGTGAATACGTATGCTCTTGGCAGGCGAGCCATCGGCGGTATACTGACTCACTACCTCCTCACAGAAGACCTCTGAAAGAGATTCAAAGTTGCATATCAAGGACATGCTACAAGAGCAACTTAGCTATGCGGAAGTCTGCGCTGACGGAGGTCAGTTAGGTATATGAAGCATCATCGCTGCACTTCTAGTGTGAGCCTTCGATATGAAGCCCAAAGACTTGGAAGACCAAAACCCCAACGAAGCCTCGAAAAAGAGAAAAAGAATGGAGTTTCGAAGGTTTGATGCTGTCTTGTTTTGACGTTGCCCATCTAGACCGGCTGAAGTACCCGCAATTGCATCTATCATCGGATGGCCCGGTTATAAGACGGAGAATATCTGCAACAATGACTCTGAAACTCAATTCTTGCAGCGCAAGTCGAGTCAGATTTGCCATGAGAAGGGATGTTGGCCATGGTTCATCATTTCCGAGAAACCATGTTGCCGAAACCGAGTCGCCGGGATCAGGTCCGTGGGGTTGGGTATCCTTTTCCGTTCGGGGTCGCGACCTTCCCCGGACCATGACCCGCGACGCGGGGGAGCCCCCCACAACTGGTCTCAGAAAACTCCGGGGAGGGTACGGAGCGACCAAGAGGCTCTGCTATGCTCATGAACAGAGGCTTCGGCTAGCTTGGGCTAATGGACTCCGGCAAGTTGGATAATGGAAATATACTTATAGCCTATGGGGTCCACCATACGTCAAGCTCAGGGTGTTCCTAAGATGGGCACTTGGTTTCTTGCAAACACCCAGTATCCTCCTTGTTACGATCACGCCTATCGAACATCACCATGCCGTCCGTAAAAAGAGCGATTCGGATCGCCGGCTCCTCCGGCGGCTTCTCCGACCGGCAGCGCGCCATCGGTGACCTCGCCAAGAACTGCGACATCGACTGCATCATCGGCGACTGGTTGTCAGAGTGTACCATGACACTCCACGGAGCACAAAAGACCGAAAACCAACGGCTGAAGCAGGCCGGACAGCTTGCAGCGGACACCGTTGGCCTTTTCGACCCCACGTTCATGGAGAACCTCTCGCCGGCGCTGTCGTACATGGAGAAGAAGAACATCAAGATGGCCGTCAACGCCGGCGCCAGTGACACCGAGTTGCTCGCAGGGTTGGTTGAAGAAGAGATCAAGAAGCAGGGGCTGGACTTGAAGGTCGGCTGGGTCAGTGGCGACGAAGTCACTGAGACGGTGAAGAGGCTGCACGCTGAGGGTGAGGTTTTCACGAGTTTGATGAACGGGCAGCCGTTGAAGGACTGGGGGTTCGATGACATTCTTGCTGCACAGTAAGACGAATCATACCACTATTAAGGAGATTACGATATACTCACAAGCTCTAGATGTTACCTCGGCGGCGCTGGCATCGCTGAAGCTCTCCGTCAAGGTTGTGACATTGTCATTGCTGGTCGTGTTGCCGACGCAGCCCCGACAATCGGCGCGTCAATGTGGTGGCACGGCTGGGACCGCGAAACCGACCTCGACCAAATTGCTGGCTCGCTCGTATGCGGGCATTTGATAGAGTGCTCTGCGTACGTCTGCGGCGGGTACTACTCCGGCTTCAAGGCGTTGATGGACAAGTGTGAGAACATTGGGTTCCCCATCGCGGAAGTTGAGGCAGACGGCACCTGCGTCATTACCAAGGAGCCTGGAACTGGAGGTGAAGTGTCCGTTGGAACAGTCAGCTCGCAGCTGCTGTATGAAATTCAAGGACCCCTTTACTACGGCTCCGATGTCACTGCCAACCTCGAAGGTGTGGTGATGACCCAGGTTGGCCCGGATCGGGTGCAAGTCACCGGCGTCAAGGGCCTTCCAGCGCCGTCGACGACGAAAGTTGGATTGACTGCCTTTGGTGGATACCAAGCGGAGTTTCACTACTACATTGTCGGCCTCGATCTCGAAGCCAAGGCCGAGTGGACGGAGCGGCAGATTCGCCACTCGATTGGCGATGCCATCAAGGATCTGTCCTGCCTCAAATTCACTCTCAACGGCTACTGCCCAGAGAATCCACGAAACCAAGAAGTGGCAACAGTCGACTTCCGGATATTCGTTCAGACAAAGCGCAAGGCACTGGTCGACAAGTTCACCCTTGACGTCCCTGGTTTCAACCGCTGGTGCATGGAGAATTTCCTGCAAAGCTGCCCCGGAGCGACTTTGGGCAATGATCAGAGGCAATCGGAAGGAAAGCCCTTTTTCGAATACTACGTCACCCTGTTACCGCAGTCTGAGGTGAAGCACCGCGTCGAGATGCCGTGGGCTGGCAAGTCGATCGATATTCCAGTGCAGAAGAACCTCCGGGCAGACTACCCACGCGACCAGACCAGCTATGAGACTACCAACCCTGTAGACCTCGACGACTTTGGTCCAACGACGAGGGGCCCGCTTGGATGGATTGTCGGTGGCCGATCGGGTGACAAGGCGAGCGACGCCAATGTTGGGTTCTACGTCCGACATGCTGATGAGTGGGACTGGCTGCGGAGTGTGTTAACAACGGAAAAGATCAAGCAGTTGCTGGACGGTAGTGATAATGGAAAGAAGGTTGAGAGATTTGAGATCCCGGGCATCAGGGCTGTTCATTTCTTATTGAG